TAGGTCGAATTGAGCTACGCTATTCGCGTAGCTGAATTTGCGTATCTTAAATCAACCCCCCCATCCCCGTAGTGAAGACCTGCCCTCAGTCATGTGTCTAAAAGCTATTCAACAGACAGGGTCTGCTCTGACAAAGTGTGTTTTACTGCAGAATTTTAAGCATCTCTAATTGCTCGGACTCAGTATAAAATACCACAGGAACCAAAATCCTGCATTGGCAGGGGATGGTTTCATCTGCATATTGCATCACCAGTCTCTATTATCCTGGTTTGCAAACCAGAAAATCCCAGGCTCAGAGTGACTGAAAGCATGTGTCATCTAATGGCTGTTCAATGGCTTGTTTGGAATGGATTGGAGTATCTGTATCATCCTGGGTTCCTCCTACCCATTGCCAGCAGAGGCACTAATGAGTAAGTGTGCATGATGACTGATGTACCCTCTCATCCCTGGAGAGCAAAGCAGTCTTTCCAGCTCAGAGTTGAAGCGCAGAGCAGGGCAGGGCAGTGTTAGGAAGCCTGCAGTACTCGCTCTGTAAATAAATGCCTCCAGTCTCCAGGGTTGCCCATCTGGAACTTTCATTAACACTAACACTTCAAAATAGGTTTTGGGTTTTTTTAACCACTATACTTTTGATTTCATATATTTACTATGGCATCTCATGCCGGATTAACTTTAGGGAATGGAGAGGAAATGAAACTATCCTCATAGCTACATGTTGATTTGGTCTTTAAATACGGTTTTTCTCCGTTATCAAACATTTTTGATATCTCTGTAATGTTACCTTTTGCTTTCAGATACAGGAGAGTGGTCACAGGTATCTTCACTGACTTGTGACGCTGGTCCAGGACCCCGGCATGGTCACTCAGCTGTGGTTTACGGCACGGGCATGTACCTGTTCGGAGGACTGATGGGGCTGAGTGAACAGAGGGACCTATGGAAGTGGGACTTTACAAGCTGCAAGTGGTCCACTATCAGAACAAGGTAAACCTCATTCATTGTCATACTAACTAAATTAGCGAGAGAAGAGTGAGGCCCCACCCATGGCACTGTATTCAGGCAAACGGCGCTTAAAGTAGTGGAAGTATTTGAATCTTTGAAAATTAGACAGAGGACTAAGGAATAGAACACCTGGAACAATTGTTCACCCTTGTAACACACAAGAAAATCTTTGCAATTTCTATGATTTCTTAGGGATTTAAGCTAACTGCATTGGATCAGGTTTCACTGTTCCTTGGATTTGAGTTTGAGACACAGGGAAATACAGCAAGGATGGAAATGGTGTGGCTTCTGGTTGCCCCTATCTTTAACAGGAAGAGGCAGGCTGCAGAGACTACTGGGCCCAGGGTGGGATGTTGCGATTTTAATCGAAGTAAAAACTGTCCAGATTGAGAGGGAGCATTGCATCCTGGGACCTCTTGTCTCTGTGGATCACCCTTCCATATAAAGATGAAGGTGGCTGCAGTCTGCTGCATTTTATGTCAGGAAAATATCCTTGATCTTTGGGCAAGTTGCCAAGGCAGCTTTTAGCTGGACAAAGTTTTGACGCCCCAGGGCAGGCAGAAGTGTTATGACCATTTTCTTTTCCAACTGAAATTATTAATATTCTTGTTGTTCTTCTAAGCACTAAATGTTGCCTGTCCTTGTGTTTAGCCAACGTCCCCCAAAAGTGGTGGGACACTCTTCTGTGGTCTTTCAAGACTCCATGCTGACTTTTGGCGGAGGGATTTCAAACTCTAGGCCTAACAACAGCTTGTGGAAGTACCATTTCAGTTCCCAGATATGGGAAAAACTGGCTAGTACAACAGAGGTAATTCTTTCTTCTAAAAGGTATCACCGCATCCTGGGAATTGGTGTTGGTTTCCAACTGACGCCAGGTTTCTCTGGGGTATCCCCCATCAATCACTGGTGTCCAAAGGGGAAAGAGCCTCAAAAGTTGGCGGTGGTCTCAAAGCAGTGTGCCCATTTTCATGGCTACTTTCGCCAGCAGCCTGTACACCAACCATTCAGCAACGACGATGGCAACGAGATAGAAATGAAAACCTTTAGCCAGCCTCTGGAGCCACTGGGCTTTTGCTCATTCCAAACCTCTTCCGAGGCAGAACTGTGCGCAGACAAAGCACAGAGCATATTTTCCAAAAATGAGCATCTCTCCCACCTCATCGCTTCCCAAGAACAAGCTCTCACTGCCACTGAAGTTACAAAAAACAGGAGAGGAACTGACTGTCAGCCTGAGAGACCTGGGAGCATGGCAGTTACCAACCATCCTGATATGCTGCTCCTGATTGGGGGCAAGCCCCTGTCCAGTCTCTGTGAAATCTCACTCTGGCAAATGGAGCTGAACAGCATTTAAATGACATACACATAAGAAGGGAGAAGAGAGCCATTCCCACCTGCTTCTCAGCAGAACTAACCAGGAAGTATTATATTCAGTGGCCTACTGCACATTCTGGGTGAAAAACAGTCTTCCTAATAACTGACCTGAACTTCTTTTTATACAGTCTTGGTTCATGAAGATTA